AGTTTAAGAACAAAAGAAGAACGACTCCTAAAACCGGGGGCTCTGTCGTGACAATCCTGATCAGCACCACGCCTGCCTTGGTGATAACCCTCTCTTGAGGCCTGATCACCGCTCTGCTATCGTCTGGCTATGGAGGACACCAAGGAAGACTGGGGGGTAGACGGAGGGAAAGCACTACAGTTGCTTGCTCACGCCTAAGGTAAAGCTTTTCTTTCTTATTTCTTGCCCCTTTTCCTTTTGCGGCTACGACTGGTAATTATAAGGAGAATCTTCTAGGGCTTTGCTTGCTTTTGGAGTTTCCTTAATTACCCGTTATTAATTTCCCAAACTTAAAAAGGAAATGCGGCTGGCGATTGTCAGGATATTCAATGTTTGCTTTCACGTTAAGCAGGTCATCCAGCTTGCATGTGACATAGGTGGTTTTACCACATTTGCTTCAGTCTTCTTCAGATAAATCTTGCCTCGGCGAGATAAATCTGCTCCTCACGTTCTCATCTGCTTCATTGGCCTTTGCAACTTTTCATTGTCACGACTAAAATGTTCTTCCTCTGTAGAATTCCTGCACAAACATAACTCAAACAACCCCTTCTCCTCAACAGCAACAATTAAGCCAAATAAATTTTGCCTAGCCAAAACTTATCCACCACAACCTATATGTAACTAAATGAAACTAAAAATGCAGTGCATACTTTGTTTAGACGAGCAATAACTTAAGTGAAAATACTAGAATTTAAGTATTTTTACGGAGTTATCATCTTGCTTATGTGTATGTACCTGCTGATGAGAGATCCAAACTTGATGCAAAATTGTGATCCAGTTATGGGATCCAAGTTATTTTTCTGGGTTACAAGATAAGTGTCAAAGGATTCAAGTTATGGGATCCAGTTGCGAAGAAAATTGTGATCAGTAGAGATGTTGTTTTTGATGAACAACCCATGTTGCTGCAAAAGAAAGACACGACAGTGGTGGATTTCGAGCAGCTTCCAGTTGAGAAAACAAAAACTTCCCAACCGACTTCTGGTGGTTCCGCTAGTTGATTTGAAGGATTATAGTCTCGCCAGAGACAGGGTGAGACGAACTAATATAAAGCCTCTGAACATATTGGGTTTTGAAGACTTGGTCTCTTTTGTAGTTACTGTTAGCTGTGATGATCCAGTTACGTTTCATGATGCCATTACTAGTCAGGAAAACGACAAGTGGATGGCTGCCATGGTTGAGGAGATATAGTATTTGAATCAAAATCGTACATGGGAGTTAGTTTGCCTTCCTGAGGGTAAGAAGCCTATTGGTTGCAAATGGGTGTATAAGAAGAAACCAGTAGTAACAGAAAAAAGGGGAGAAGTTCAAGGCTCGTTTGGTAGCAAAGGGCTTTTCACAGTAGAAAGTAGTTGATTATAATGAAATTTTTCTCCTGTGGTCAGGCACACTTCAATCAGAGCAGTACTTGTATTGGTGGCTAGTTGTGATTTGCATTTAGAGCAGATGGATGTTAAAACTGCTTTTTTGCATGGTGATTTAGAGGAACAGATCTACATGCAGCAGCCTAAAGGTTTCACTCAACCTGGAAACAAGCATTTAGTTTGCAAATTGAAGAAATCTTTGTACGGGTTGAAACAGTCTCCGAGACAATGGTACAAACGGTTTGACTCCTATATGATCAAGATTGGCTATAAACGATGTGAGTATGATTATTATGTCTATGTTAAGAGCCTTGATGATGGTTCTTTTATTTTTCTATTACTGTATGTTGATAATATGTTAATTGTTGCGAAGAACATGGATGATGTTATTGGTTTGAAAACTTTATTGAGTCAAGAATTTGATATGAAAGATTTAGGTGTTGCAAAGAAAATTATTGGAATGTAAATTTACAGGAATAGAGACTGAAGGAAACTGTGGCTATCTTAACGGTGATATGTTGAGAAAATGCTAGAAAGGTTTGCGATGAGCAAAACCTGTTAGCACTCCATTGGCGAATCACTTTAAGCTTTCATCAGAACAGTGCAATGGTATGTACTCGTCTTGATTTGTATTCTAATGTTGTTGGCTGCTTGATGTATGCAATGGTATGTACTCGTCCTGATTTAGCTCATGCTGTCAGTCAAGTTTGTAAGTTTATGTCTAAACCTGGTAAGCAACATTGGGAAGTAGTCAAGTGGATCTTTAGGTACTTAAAGGGTACTGTGGGACATGGAATTGTTTTTGGTAGTCAGCGGGATAATCCTTTGGTTGTAGGATATGTGGATTCAGACTATGTGGGTGATTTGGATAATAAAAGATCTACGACAGGGTATGTCTTTACTCTTGGTAGATGGCCTATTTGTTGGAAGTCTACTGTTCAATCTGTTGTGGCATTATCTACAACTGAAGCTGAATACATGAAAGCGGCTATAGCTGTAAAAGAAGCTTTATGGCTTACTGGTTTAGTGAAGGAGTTGGGTGTTCAGCAAGGTGGAGTTCAGTTGCTTTGTGACAATCAAAGTACTATTCACTTGGCTAAGAATCAGGTATATCGTGCTAGAACTATGCATATTGATGTAAGGTTTCACAAATCAGAGAGTTGATTGCATCTGGAGAGATTTTGTTTCAGAAGGTACATACTGATGAGAATGTCGTTGATATGTTGACCAAGTCAGTTACGACAGACAAGTTCATGCATTGCTTGGACTTGTTGAGTGTTTCGAGTTGTTAAAGAAGTAAGGTAACCTTACCCACATTGAATGTTTCCTAAGGGGTAAGCTATTTGCCAAGGTGGAGATTTGTTAGGTATGGCTCATAAATATACCGGTAAAGAGGACAAATGATGGAGCGGAGCGAACATCAACTGTCCTTACAAAGAAAGTCTCGTAGTGGGGGTTACGATTATGTGTGTGCCCCCGCAATACGGTACAAGGTTATTTTTGTAAATATGTACCATGGTTTATTTATTATAAAGGAGATGTAACCAAAGCCTATGATCTATTGAATGAAAAATCTAGCGCCGCCCAGAGCACTGAGGACGTAAGCACATTATTGAACCTCGTTAAAATTCTTGTGTTCTTTTCGTTTTCTTTACCCGATTATTCAACAATAATGGGATCTACAAGTTGGTACCTCATATTGTTTTGGCTAATAATGTTGATGTCTCTATGTCTAATGTATTAGGATGTTCTAAATATGTGACACAAAAGTCTTGAACACTCTTTGTAGTAAGGTGAGAATTCGATCAAGTCGAATAAAAAAAAGTTGAGTTATTCGAGTAGACAAGTTGTACTCTATGACTCAAATTTTATTTAAATTTTTTTTTGAGTTGAGTCGAGTTATTGGAGTTTCTATACAAATTTAATTACAATTATTTATAATATTAGGATACATATTAGTTCAACTTTATCTACTTTCTCTAACCATATTATATATATATATTTCTTCAAATTCTTTTTATATTGTAATGTTATTTAATAAATCAAATACAATGTAAAATTATGTAATATATTTATAATATTATTTTTCAAAGAATATAATTTGAGGATAAAGTATTTATGATAGTTGAGTCAAGAAATTTATGGAAATAAAGAATTTGTAAGAAATTATAGTCAAAACATCAAATCGAATAAAATACAAAGTTAAGACATTTTAATGAAAAAAATTGTATTAAAAATATGAATAAGAGTTCATAAGTATTTTGTAGCTGAAGAGGAACTTGTGGTTTAAATAGATTAAAATGAACTTAAAATGAAGGATGAACGGAAGAAATGAAATAATTAATATTGTTTTTTTTATTAATTTAGTCAATAACGTTCATGTTTGTTCTATTTAAAACAAAATAATAGATTTAATATAAAAATAAGTGTCTAAATTATATCCTTTGTTCACTTTAAGTGCATGAAGTAATTTTCGCTCAAAGTAAGACTTTATGTTTTCGATGTTACCATTTTAAGCGTTTATGTCGTAACGGCCGTTAAAAAAATATTATTATTTTAAAATATCATAAAAACCCTTTAAAATTTCTAAACTCCAAAAACTTGCCGACCTCCTTTTGTCGATCGGCTCCATCACAGCCATCGCCGCCCTTAAATCCCTAATGCTGCAAACACCCAAATGCAACATGTTTTGGTGGCTTAAATGCAACAAATACACCTTACCGGGTCGACCCCCCAAAAGTTGAATGACACACTGTCGCCTGCGTTAATGCTTCTTGGAGACACAAACCCAAATGTAAGAAGTTTTGGTCCTTAAATGCAGCAATGAGCCACCCACCTCAAACGCAAGAAGCCAACCAAGCTTCAACCAGCGACCACTTGAATTAGAATTAAGATTTTGGGGATTTGAGTATCATAGAGTTTAGAGACTTGGAGTTTAAGATTTGAGATGACGACAAAGGTAATGATCGGTCAGAAAATGGACCACGACAAATAGATGATAAAAAATGACCGATGATAACAGTAAAGGAAATTGAAATTAAGAATTTTAGGAATTTTAATTTTTCTTTTTATATTTTTGAGGAATTTTGAGTTTTCTTTTAAATAATAAACATTTTGATATTTTTAATATATATACATATATATTAAAATTTTATAAACATGATAGTGTTATATGATGAATTCTTTTGACTACCTCTATGACATAGACACTTAAAATAGTAACATCAAAATCATTAGACATTTACTTTGAACAAAAATACATTATACACTTAAAATGACATAGTATAATTTAGATACCTATTTTTCATTAAATATTATTATTATTATTATAATATTAGTTTCCATGTTTTTCTCTTGATCATGTGCAATCATATGAATTGATCAATAAATAATCTTGTGCACTTTGTACTACCAGTAGGAACCAGAAGTGGGACAGCTCAATTATAAGATTTTTGTTGGAGCAGACTATCCAAAATGTCACATGAAAATACATTGTCATATAAAAAAGTATTTCATTACCGGATCAAACATCAGATGTCCTATAAAGGACAGGGACCTTAAAACATTACCCCTTCTTCCTCGCATTCATCCCACATTTTTCTAACTAAATTTCCCCCCCAAATCAATGGAAAAAGCAAAAAACACATTAGAAAAACCAAATCTGCATATATAGACACACCTTGTTTTGACCCCAAAATTTCTCCACCACTACAATTACTTAATGAATCTCCAGCTGCAAAAATACACAAACAAGCTTCATGTCAGGGAACCGATCGATAAACGTAGACGAGCAATGAACTCCTTCATTCCATGTATAAACGAATATTGACCTGTTCGGAGACCGAGCTCTCAACAAGGTAGCCCTTTGGATGATTCTCTATGCACTTGAACAGGTACTTGAAGGTCTCTATCTCGCAAGGGAGTGTGAGTCCCCCGTTGTGATCGTACCCGAATTCCTCCTCGGCTTTTTGTAGCAAAATCTTAAAGACGGGATGTGTAAGGTAGCCCGTTGGGATGATAAACCTCCGAAGCTCCACACCGACGTAAACCGCCAAAAATCCCTTCGGGACATCGGGTGGTGGTTCGGGACTGGCACAACTTTCATCGTCAGAATCACAATACATAACGTTTGTTAGCCTTTTGTTTAAGGGTCTTGGGACACTCCCAGGACAGTCTCCAGAGCGGTGAGTACTTGGCCTTGAGCCTAATGTGGCAGCTTGCCATTTTTGAATGATTTCCTTTAGTCTAACAATCTGCCGGATCCCAGTCACCTTGCTGCCGCAGCCTCGGTCATCCATTGTTGAATTCACTGCAATATTTAAAAGAACCTTAGAATTGAATTTGTAGGTTTTGGATCATCTTCCACTACATTTCCATAAATTGTTCAAGATTAAATCAAATAAATCACCACGTTTATAAGAAAATTTGGATTTAAAACTGCATTGTTTACTTCAAATAGATCAAACCGACATATATTTACATTATAAAAATGAAGCTAATAAATTACACTTCCAATTACTGTCATGACAGAAATTAAGCCAAGAAATCACTTTCATAATATTGTTTTCACAAATACAAATGGAAATCCGTATCCAAAAAGGAAAAATGTTAGATTTTAAGCATATTGAATCTAGATCTGCAAGACTAGAGGTAGCCAAATTCTCAAAAGCTTAAGCTTTAATGACCATATCTAACAATGAAAAACGCAGATAATTGAACTTTTTTATTTTCAATTGCAGATTTAAAAACAAATCCTCCCAAGAAAAGTCCAATCCAAATTCCATTATATCGGACCAACAACTGAAACATCGTCAACAATGAAACATCAGGACAAAACTGTCTCTTTCACTTAAATTCTAAATCCAAAAACAAAGTCTTTATGAAAGACAGAAGCATGGAAAAATAAAGAAGAAACTTGGTACCTGAATATGTGGGGGGAGGATTTAGCAGAGAACCCGAAGAAGGGCCATTGCCAAAGGCCTTGGGGGAAGTTTGGGAATGGTAAAAAATGTGGGAGGAAACAAAAAGAAACTAAATACGCCTTAGGGGAATTATAAAAGGAAAAAGAAATGAGTTTTTTTTTCTTATTTTAATAATTACAAGTAAATTTGCTGTTTGATCGAATAATGATTGTGGCTGTCACGCCAAAATTTTCTTTGGATAAAGCGACTGTATAGGACTAGGAGGTTGGATTTTTCCCCCCGTTTTACTTCTCTATTTGCCCTTTGCTTGCCGCTGCTAAACGGAAACTGTTTCCTTTTAAAGATTAATTCACATGATTAATATAAAAAAGTGTATACTATTAGAAAAATATCCGTTAAGTGATATAGATTTTCTCTGTGATTCTGTCATATTTAGAATTTTTAAAATACTTTTAAATAATATTTTATTTAAAAAAAATTAAAAAATATAAATGTGACACATGTCACTTAATATTTTTTAACGATAGACACCTAAAAGTGTAACGAGAAAATTTGAAACATATATTTTTAACGAAAAATACTTTAGACACCAAAAATTAATTTTGATTATAGTTTAAGCACTTATTTTTGCATGAAGTCTAATTTAAAAGTTTTTCAAAAAATAGTATATGTTAAGATCTTTGTTATATAATAATATTGGATAAATTACAGATTTAATAATTGAACTTTCATACGATTCTTGTTTTACTCACCGTTCTTTCAAAATTTTCAACTTTTTCACTCAACTTTATAAATTGAGTTTTTTGGTCACTCTGTCGTTAAACTTCTCACGTCGTTATGACTAAGCTTAGATAAATAAACTTTTAATCTTTAAAAACTTAAAAGAAATGGAGGTTATATCAGGTCAAAAAACTATTAATTCTAAATATAATTTAAAATAATAATAATAATAATAATTGAAATATTTAAAATACCTAAAAACTTAACCCCAATCCCATCCCGCGGTTTCATCCGACCATCGAAATTTCTGTGACGTCGATTTCTTTCCGTCTCCAACGTCGATGTTTTTGACTTTCAATGAACTTCAATGAAGTTCCATTGTCTCAGCTCCAGCTCTTCACCTTCTTTAACCCATTTCCCCCAAATCTCTTCTTCGTTTTCCTCCTTGTAGTTGGCTTTTGGGTGTTTGGACTCTTCCATGGAGTTTTTTTTGACAAATTTACAAAGAAAATTCCCTTACTTTGATGCCAAAAAAATGCCCAAAACCATACCACACTACAATTCCATTATCCTTCACTACCCATTTCCTTTGTATGATCTTAATATCGCTTGCTTCCAAAAGAAAAAGGAAGAAATCTAAAGGAACAAGACCAAAATTACCTTTCGATGAAACAACGATCAATCAGAACATCATTTTCTTGAGTTTTCCCGGTAAACAAACAAGAAAATTACAACATTTTTCAAGCTGTGAAAGACTAAAGCAACATAAAATCAAACATTTGGTATTGATAAAAAAAATCAAAATATGTTTTGGGTTATTTGATTCAAACAATTCCTTTTACGTACAAACCAAAACTGAAGATTAAAGCACGACGAAAGAAAATCAATATCTTCTTTGGCATGGGAAGTACCACGAGACCAAGTGAAGTCGGGCCTTGGAACCCCATATCCCGGAGAGACATGTCCCATAAAAGTTATTGGAAGTCCTTACTTGGTTTAGTGGAGGTGCAACCCATACGATCTGAAGAGAATAAAGTAGCATTAAAGTCTCCTAGAATGATCCAAGGAGATGAAATGGAGCTGGCAATATAGCCAAGACCCGACCACAGGGATTTCCTCTTGGCGGCATTAGGACTTCCATAAACAAAAGTCGCAAAGAAAGTGACATTATTAGAGTAGAAAATCTGGAAGTGAATGAACTGAATGTGGTTGCGGATTACAGTAACTTGAACAGAGTTGTTCCAACATAACCAAAATCCTCCCGAAAAACCAACCGCTTCAATTCTGTGAGAACGGTGAAATCCGAGGGAAGAAATTATAGCATCAGCCTTCGAACCACTAACACGCTCGCAAAAATTGTTTAGCAGCGGGGAGGAATCTGGGGTTGCCACATCCTTGAACATTCCAAACAAAGAATTTTAGATTCATAATGATAGGAAAAAAATGGAGTGACATCGTGCTATTCAAGCATGGCAACCGGATGATTTGCCTCAGCAATTACGTATGTCACTGCATGGGAGTGGACAGCTATCTTACTCGGGTCATTGGACACATGTAAAATACCAAATGGCAAGGACTGGTTACGAGCAGCATCCGGGGTATCACCCAAGGGAAGATACGTAAGCTTCTTCCAAAGTGGCTGTTGCACGACGAAGATAAATATTAGGGTCAGAATTCTCTTAGATGGAGACAGTCGAGTGTTTTGTCAGATCGAGGACAGCAAAGATTTTGCGAGAGGGAGCAGAATAAGTTTCCACATCTTCACGATTTGAATTGGCCAGCGGAGTGAGCGTTCCACGGGATGAAGAGGGGTGAAAACTACGAGTGATAACTGGCTTGCAAAGGGAAACAGACCCCATGGCAGTAAGAGGCTTAGCGCAGAATTGAACGGGGTTTTTACTCTTGGTAAGCACCTTAGGTTTCGGTGCAGGAGCTGGAGAGGGTGTTGGGGGATAGTAGTCGGGGTGGTTTGATGTGGGGGTTCAGCAACTTCTGAGGGCTCCTCAAAATTAGGGTTAAACCAGGAAGCATGAGCAAACGAGGCGTTGGGATAAGGCACAGAGGTTAAACAAACCTTTGGAGGCTTCCTCGCTCGGCGTTCAACTAACATCCACGGGCCATAAGTGTAGACACACTTTTCTGTCCATTTGAAATGTTTACATTGTATAGCATACGTATATATATTATGTATATATTATTATTATTATTATTTTTATTAACTAATATTTTTTTTATTTGTTTTGTTAGGTACAGCCCAAACAGCCCGAAGCCCATTACAAATTGTTGACCCATTACACACCAAACCCAACAGCAGCCCAGATCCAAATGCAAATGGAGCCCCAATGACCCGAATTAACTCGAGTAGGGTTTTTCCCTAGCATCAACAGCCGCTTCAATCCCAACCCTTGGATCTGGACTCATCCAACGGTCCCGTCAGAGAATAGGGTTTTAAAACCTAATGCTCCCCACTCCAACGCCGCATGCTTGGACCACGATCCGACTCCGTTCCAGCCACATTCAAACCTCCCCGGAATCCTCGACACCAACACCAAGTCAGAAACAAACCGAAAGAATTTTAGTCTACGTAGGATTCTAAATAAACCGAAAAAATGAGTATTTGAGTCTAAATGGGACTCTAAATACACCTAAAAATAGGGGGTTCCTAAAGTTATAAATTGATGTAAATCTAAGTTAGAAAAAAATCACAAGAAAAATCGGAGAGAAATACACAAATCGAAGCACTTATAACGTCTCGAAAAGAAATAAGAGGGTCAAGTTCTTACCTTTCTCGGTTTTAATACTTGCATGTAGGTTGTTTGATTTTTTTTCTTTGCTTTTGATTCGAAAAACCCAAGAAGGGAAGGTTTAAGCTGATGAATGGGGGAGGGTTTCGAGAACTTTCTTCTCAGATCTAGCCCTCCCCGAGGCGATTTTGTAAAAACCAAGTTGGTTTTTTGAAAAGAGGGAGTAAAGAGCTTTCGAAAAAAAATTTAATCTTTTTTTTGGACCACCATCGATGAACGGCGGCCGGCGAGGCAACGGTCAGCCGGATTCTGGGTTTGGTTGAGTGTTCTTCATTTTCACGAAGAACACAATGAACAAATGAGAGGATTTTGGGGGTTTCGACTTGATCCATTTGAGAGGGGGGAGGAAAAATGATTTTTGTTTTTGAGCTTTGGGTTTTATACTGGACCCATCAACTCGATGGCCCGAAGAGGGTTAATTACAGTCGTAGTCTCTCGTTTGTTTTTAAAGTTCATTTTACTCCCTAAATTCAATTTTAACCCCGATTTTCTTTTTAAATTTACCACCTACTTTATTTTTCTTTTAATTTAGTCATTTTTTACTTTAATTTACGTTTTAATTGTTTTTTCACTTTTATTTTTTTATTATTTTGTTTCTTTTTTTCTTTAAATTTTTTAATTCTATTCTATTTTATTTCTTTCCTTCTTTTAATTATTTTTAATTTTATTTCTTTTAATTCTTTTAATTTTTTTTTATTTTATCTTTATTTTATTTGTTTTTTTAATTTTATCTCATTTTCTTATTTCTTCTTCTTTTAATTGCTTTTAAATTTAATTTAATTTATTTCTTTTTTCTTCTTCTTGAATTGTTTTTTATTTTTTATTTTATTTTTTAATTTTAGCTAACTTTTTGGTTTCTTTTTATTTATTTCATTTTTAATTTAGTTTAGTTTTTTTTACAATTTTCAATTTAATTAATTTCTTTTGTGGTATATATTTGTTTGATTATATATCTATTATTTTTATTTATTTTCTTTTTTCATTTTTGTGACTTTATTAATATTTAATTTCACAATTAATATTTTTCTAACCTTTAATTCAATGGACCTTTTTATTTGCTGTGTATTTTTAATAGGCATTGTTTTTGTTTTTATTTATTTTAATTCCTCAGCATGCATATATTTTTTACTTTAAGCATCATAATTTAACCTTTATTTTTTGTTTCCTTTTTTATTCTGCATTTTACTTTATCTAACATTTTTTTGACTATTTAAGGGCATGCTTTTAAATCCATTAAATGTAAGTAATTTGGATCAAATTTTACTTTTTAACTTAACTTGCAATTTTCTCAATTAAGACAACTGGAAATTAGATTAGTACCGAAGAGCAGTTCAAGGATGCTAATCCTTCCTTGACTGTAACCGACTCTCAAATCCGACATATCTTTGGTAAGATGCAGTTTAGGTAAGAAATCGAGGTATCCGATCAACCCATTTTTGTTCTTAAAAGAAATGATCGGTGACGACTATAACCCATTTATTTAAGTCGAAGCCCAATTTCGGGCCCACCTGAAAGACGGTTGCGACAGCTTGGCGACTCTGATGGGACAAGTAAGTGA